GATGTATACAACTTCATCACGAGTGATGTAAAGTTGAAAAACATATAAAACATATTTTATATGAAAAACATATTTCGGGTTAGCTGGAGCGGAACCCGAAAGGTTTTTTGAGGTAAGAATATGTCTATACGTTAATCGAGGATGTGAGCTATCATCCTGCCAAATTTCAGCCTGATCCGACAAGTAGTTAGTGCGTGATTGAGCTTCAAACGAACAAACAAACACACAAACTTTCACATTTATAATATTTAGAATGATTAAAGAAAAGAATAGTATTCATATTTAAAAGGAATTACAGAATTTAGTTAGCTGTTTCAACTAAACTGGTTGGTTCTATGATATTCAATACCATTAAAAATTAAAAGATTTACCCACAGGGCAGCACTATTCTTATTTATTTTTTTATTTTATGACAACAGTTAATTTGAATTAAGCAGCAACAAAAAGCTGTGATACACAATGAAAATTGCAAAGTAGTATTGTTTACATTTACGTATGCATTTTTATTTTAATTAATAATTTTCGGTATTGTGCGAATGTTTGAAAATTTACTTTCTTCTATTATTTACTTTCTTCTAGGTACAGTGGTAGAACATTATGTCTATTTTAGATTTGTTATAATAAACGCAAAGCATGAGTATAACTGCAATAAGCATTGTATTCGTATACGCCAGCCCCGTACGAAGGACGGGTACTCTGCTAGTTTGTTCATGTAATTTTAGTTAAAAGTGATGATACTATCGGAGTGACGGTTTGAGGCGGTGTCAAGTTGTCGGCTGCATCGACGCTAAACCGCCACCTCTCACGCTCGCGTCTAGGTGTCACCCAGACAAGGTGTCACCTCCTCTCTTTGGAGGTGACGACTAGACGCCTTCGTACATGACAACCTGTCACCTCGCACGCTTGCGCCTAGTTGTCACTCCGACTACCTGTCACCTCATTCAAACGGTAACGGGTAGTCGGGAACGATGCGCGACAACGTGTCACCTCAAAACCTGTCTTAAAAGGTGACGGTTGGTCGCGGTGTCTGGTTGTCGAGGTGACACGTAGTCGCTGTCCCGTTTCGTTACGGTAATCGTGTCACCTCGGGTCGCCGGAATTTAACCCCCCTGGAATTTTACCCCCTGGGCAAAGCTGTCGTCACTATGACGTAGTAACCTGAGTGGCCAAAAGTTTGTTCGCGGCCGGAATTTTACCCCCGCGGATTTCGAAGTCTAATGAAAATAGTCAGAGCGTGATTAATTCAATTAGCGATAAAAACCGGAATTTTAACCCCTGTCCATATAACTAGTGTTTAGACAACTGAAATGTACGGGCCGGATTTTTACCCCCCGGAATTTTACCCCCGGATTTTTACCCCCCGGAATTTTACCCCCTGGCCGATTTTAGAAATGGAATGATTGGTTTTCTTATTTCTGTTTTTAGTTAATTGTAAACATTTCATTATTTAGTGGCCTATCTTTATTTATTTATTTTGTAATCTCAACTAAGTCAAACGAATTCGCTGTTTAATTTTGATGTTCGGGATTTGCCTTTGGGGCAAAATGTTGGGTAATAAGTATGTAAATAAGTAATAGGCCATGTTAATAAGTATGAAAAACAATGTATTTAGTTTCAGTTGTACAACAACCTTCTTGTTTCTTCAGGCACAAACCATGTGATGATAAAGGTGGTCGAAATACATGTTGTGAAATGTAGTTGTAGACATCCGGTATGCCTACAATGTATTCGACCAATTGTTGTGTTGACTACTGCAAGGAATCTCATCAAAAGTACTTGGAAAGAGTGCTCAGTAAGTTATGTTAATCCCCTCGCGCGTTACTGCGAAATCCCAATGCCCTTTAGTTTAAAGAATCTCTTTTCACAACAGGTCATTCCAGTCATGTAGAGTCTTTTGAGAAACATTCATTGTGTACATAATATGCGTATTGTACAGATAGACCTTTACACAGTTTTTTTTTACCTGTCAACCTTTTTTATTATTTCTTCAAATTATGAAATCCTAACTTATAAAAAAATCAATATTATATTTTGTACCTAGTGCATACTCAATGCTAGTGCCGAACAGGAAGTTTTGCCGGCTCGAGTTAGTTTTTAAATTCGAGACGAAGTTGAGAACTTAACGATCGAGAGCTGCAGCTCCATTTTGGTCCGTGGCTGCTTTTAGTGGTTTCGTCACGACACCTCTTCAAAATCGCGTTCCTTAAACTAAACATGTCCGCTAAGTTTTTAGTTTTTTCACACGAATGGACGGTCTTATGATCGATCACTCTCTCCTCAAGATTGTTCGGGTTTAGTAGCACTGCAGTTCCCTTGCACTTATAAGAATGGCACACGAGTCTCCAACGCGACTGAGCTCTTCGCTCTTTCAGTCTATAAAAATGACCTCTTCTGTCAGAGTATAAAACAGCTTTTGTCTTCCCGGAAACCTCAAAAACACCATTATCTTCCTCCATGATTAAAACTCTCGCACTTCACGACTAATTGTAATATTACGCTATACAGTTATGATACAAAAAATAACACTGGTAAAAACACTTTAAATAGATATGATTCAAAAAAGTAACTACGACGTTACACTAAATTAGATAAATTAAATAGATGAAGCCTAAAATAATGCAAAATAGAGAACCACTTCGCACAGCATCAAGAACGCAACTGACTTAGGGCGTAAACGACAGCCCTTTAAGTAGCCTGGAATTCCTAATTCCTGGTATTCCTACGTAGGGGCAGTGTGGTGCGCCAGCCATAGACCAATCCAACAGATGAGGACAGAGGGCGTAGCTACGATTCATAGGTGTACCTTGCAGAATTTGAATTAGAAAGTAAAAAAAAAAAAATACTTAGAAGAAATTAATAAGTGTGTTGTCGGTTGTTGTATTGGGCTTATCCCAATTCAGCGCGGTAGTCATAAATCTGGCACAACCGACTGCCCAACGCCGTGCGGTAGCACAGAAAACATACTACGTTTTCTGTGGCGGTAGTCACTTTCTAGTTTTCTTATAAAACCCCTCGTTCACCAAGGAATGTAACAATATTTAAAAACCCAAAACATCATTTTTATGCTTTTAAAGTATCATTTTTCAATTTTCCACCATTCTGTTTCTACAAGGGCTAGGGAGCTTAAATTTTCCCTAAATTTAAAACCTACTTCATAAATTGTGTACAGTTTCAACATGTTCGGTGCATAATGGGTAATTAATGTAAAATCGAATGTTTAAACCTCTTCGTGGGACACTGTAGGCCTTATTAACAATGCGAGTTACGTTGTAGGTAGCGTGCAGAGCCGCTGACTAACACCCTACCCCTGATGATGCAATTTCTCCCGCTTTACATTCTACATGATTCTACATAATTAGGCGAATATTTTTGGCAATGCTAGAAAATAGTGACTCATATACTCATTTGGAAATAGCTGAAGTCTTATGACAATAGTTGCAGGAATTATAAAACATCACTAAACAACATAAGAGATGGTCTCTATATAATTTCAACCCCTCCCATTGAACAAGTTTGATGCCATTGATTATAACAAAAGCGAATGGCGTACATCCGTGACTAATGATGTTTTCAATTTTAATTTTGAATTTATATACTAATTGGGAACATTAAAACCCGCCGTTTTAATATTTCCCGCCGTTGGTAGCGGTGTCCTGCTATTTTCCACCAGTGCCTTTTGCTACCAGTAGGTTCAGTTCCCGGAATGTGACTCAACCATTGTTGCACTCATAATTAATTTGTTGTATATCAAATAAATTTTCATAACTGTAATATATGTTTATATTAATTGTACAAGAAGCAGCATTTGATTTTATAATGTTGGTTGCATTCCAGATGTTAAAGACTTTTGTTTTGTTCTGATTGTTAATTTTGTAAATAACAATAATAATTGAGTTGTGATTGAAATGAATAATAAATTGAATACACTAGATTTTATCTTGTTCTTATAAAATATTACAATGGCGCAGTCAAATTAAACGGACCTCGTTCCGAGTGATAGTAAGTCTAGTAAAAGTAAAGTTTTTTTTTTTATACCAGATTCTGAAGAAGATAAATCTAAACTTCAAAAAAAAAGGGAGGTAAACTTAAAGCCTAAGATGTTAGGAATAGGTAAGATTGGTGAATTTAACCCACAAGATGAGTCCATTGAATCATATGCAATGAGGCTTAAGCATTATTTCAAAGCTAATGAGATTGATGACGATACCAAAGTTTCTGTTTTAATAACTGTTGTAGGCCCAAAAGTTTTAACAATTTTGTCTGATTTAGTTTCACCTGCAGCTGTAGATAGCAAAAGTTATGAAGAGTTAGTTAAAGTGCTTGAGAACTATTTTTCTCCAAAGAAATTGGTGGTAGCTGAGAGATACACTTTTTATTCTCGTGTGCAAAAACCTAGTGAGAGTATTTCAGAGTTTGTTGTAGCGATTAAACATTTAGCTAGTTCATGTAAATTTGGCACATTCTTAAAAGAGGCTCTTAGAGACAAGCTTATTTCAGGGATAAGTAATGAGGTCATAAGGCAAAAATTATTGTCTGAGGATCAAGAATTTGAAGAAGCTTGTAGTTTGGCACTCAGATTAGAGCAGGCTGAAAAACAGACAAGTTTGTTCAATCCAAAACAGGAAATTTGTCATTTAAATTCCAAGCCCAATTCTTCACATGTGAATCAAAATATGCAGACTGGGAGTCATTTCAATTCAGCTATTGGTACTGGTATGACTAATATTAATGCTAAATTTAAGTGTTACAGATGTTGTTCAGTTGAACATAGGGCCAATGAATGTCCATATGCAAATTATAAGTGCAATGGGTGCAACATGGTTGGGCATCTACTAAAAGCTTGCCGAAACCAAAGTAAAGTTGCAAAATTTGGAAGGAAGGACTAGTCAGGTGCTATTAGAGTCCATCAAATCTCCGAAGATGATGTCAATGAGCTTAGCTCAAGCTGCAATGAAGTTTCAAATAATGTGTGTTTGTACAACTTTGGATTAAACACAGGTATGGCAGCTTACAAGGTAAGGCTAACTATAGAGAAGGTTCTGGTGGAGATGGAAATTGACAGCGGGTCAGCTGTATCAGTTTGTCCTTCAGACGTTTTTAATGAACATTTTTCTCATATCGAATTAAAGCCTGTTTCTATGAAATTGCGAACTTACACAGGTGGTGACGTGCCTGTTCTAGGTCAAGCTGAGGTTAGAGTTTTATATAAAAACCAGAACCTAGTGTTACCACTATTGATTGTTGAGGTTTGTCGTAAAGACCAGCCTATTTTGCTTGGAAGGAACTGGTTAGCAAAATTAAAGTTGGATTGGCATGCTGTATTTTCAAGATCGTATGATACTACTGGTACTAAATCTAAGTCTACAGTGAATGTTACCACATGTGAATTGAAGCAATCTAATTGTGAAGTTGTGTTGCCTAATGGCAAATTTGAGGCTGAAGTAGAGGCGTTAAAGAAAAAATACAATGCAGTGTTTCAAGGGGGGCCAGGAGAAATAAAAGGTGTTAAGGCTCAAGTCACTCTCAAGGACAATGTTGTTCCTAAGTTTTGCAAATTTAGGCCTGTGCCTTACTCGTTAAGGGAAAAAGTAGAACAAGAATTAGATCGGTGGGTTGAGGATGGTATAGCGTACAGAGTTTCTAGTTCAGAATGGGCTACTCCGTTAGTTACAGTGCCCAAGACTAATGGTGTCCGATTGTGCGCAGACTTCAAAGTAACATTGAATCCGGTGTTACAGACGGAACATTATCCATTACCTCAACCTGAGGATATATTTGCTTCTCTGTCTGGTTGTACATATTTTTCAGTTGTGGATCTCACTAATGCTTATCAACAATTAGCTGTTGCGGAGGATTCACAACCTCTGTTGACGTTAACAACTCACAAGGGACTATTTCGACTAAGACGTCTGCCATTTGGACTTTCTTCAGCTCCAGCTATATTTCAAGCTGTGGTCGATCAAATTATAAACGGATTACCAGGTACTGTAGCCTATTTAGATAATGTTTTGGTCGGCGGCTCAACAAGAGAGGAAGCCTTTTATAGATTGGAGAAATTGTTACAGCGTCTTATGGAATTTGGAGTACAAGTTAATGGGAGTAAATGCAAGTTCTTACAGCCTGAAGTGGAATATTTAGGCTACGTCATTTCAGCATCAGGAGTCAGTCCACAACAAGGTATTGTTGAAGCTATTCAAAAAGATCCCGAACCTACTAGTAAAGACGAGCTAAGGGCTTATGTTGGTTTAATAAACTATTATGGAAAATTTATTCAAAACTTGTCTGCTGAAATTCATTGTTTTTATGAACTGTTAAAGAAAGATGTTCCATGGAAATGGACCGAGCAATGTTCTCAAACATTCAAAGAAAGTAAATCTTGGGTTCTGTGTTCTGATGTTTTAGTACACTATGATGTCTTGAAACCTTTAGTGCTCACTTGTGATGCTAGTCCTAAAGGAGTTTCTGCCATTTTGTCCCATATCATAAACGGAGAAGAAAGACCTATAGCGTTTGCATCAAAAACACTGAGTGCCAGTGAGAAGAACTATTCACAGCTCCACAAGGAGGCGTTGGCACTGATCTTTGGAGTGAAGAAATTCCATAAATACATTTATGGGCGTACCAATTGTATTTTACAAAGTGATCATCAGCCACTAGCAGCTATTTTTGGATCAAAACGAGGGGTGCCTAGTTTAGCTGCTGCTCGCCTACAACGATGGGCCCTGATTTTGTCTGCCTACAATTTTGAGGTAAAATATCGGAAGGGTTCCAGTTTGCCTCACGCTGATGCGTTGTCACGCTTACCACTACCCGAGAATGAAACTTTGGAGTTGGATGAAAATTATATATCTCATGTGGAATCTTGTGTAAGAGAAATGAACTTTTTCAATTCGGGGAGTGACGATTCTCCAATCACTTCTTTAGAGATAGGACAATTGACTGATAAAGACCCACTGTTGTCTAAAGTTCGGGATTTTGTGTTGTATGGGTGGCGTGAAATTGTAGACCCAATGTTAATTCCATTTCAGAGAAGGAGAGATGAATTGTCAGTGGATAAAAATTGCATTTTATGGGGCAGTAGAGTAGTCATACCTAAGAAATTGCAAGGTAAAGTCATCCAGATATTGCATGAACAACATCCTGGAATTACTCGAATGAAATTGTTGGCACGCAGCCACGTGTGGTGGCCTGGGATCGAAAAAGTAATTGAGGATGCTGTGTCATCTTGTTTGATTTGTCAAAGTACAAGAAATGCTGCTTCAAAAGTTCCATTGCAGCAATGGCCGTTAACTTCCGAGAGATGGCGCCGAATTCATATCGATTTTGCTGAAGATCCAACCACCAGACAGCAAATGTTGATTGTAGTGGATAGTTTTTCAAAGTGGATGGAAGTATTTTTAATGGGTTCTATTTCCACGGGGAAGACCATTGAGAAACTTCGTACACTATTTTCTGCTTATGGTTTACCTGAGGAGTTGGTGTGTGACAACGGCACGTCTTTTACCAGTCTAGAATTCAGGGAGTTTCTTAGAAAAAATGGTGTGAAACTAACATTTTCTCCACCATATCGCCCTGCCTCCAATGGAGCAGCCGAGCGTTCTGTTCAAGAAGTTAAGAAAAGTTTGTTAAGACAAGTTTTGGGTGAAAAATCATCTCAGCAGACATCACTGCAGTATAAATTGGATAACTTTCTTTTCGCATATCGTAATACTCCATCGTCAGTAACCGGTGTGAGCCCGGCTGAACTGTTCTTACGTTGGAAACCTCGAACAAAATTGACTATGTTAAAACCTAATCTACTAGACGAGTCAAGGAAGAAGCAGGAAATGCAGAAACGAGCCTCAGATAGGCATAGAGGTGCGTGTAGATTTTTTAATGAAAATCAGAAGGTGTTGGTTAAAACAGTCAGACAGGAGAAGGTTAGTTGGGTTCCAGGTCGTATATTACAGTGTAAAAGTCCAGTTACTTATTTGGTTAGTGTTCTTGGCAAAACAAGAGTTTGCCATGCAGACCATCTTAGGCCAACTGAGGTAGAGGAGGACGAAATCATTGTGCGGAAAGAGGAAGTTGGAAGGACTATTGAGGCACATCAACAAGAATTCAATAGAGGTTTGCCTATTCTTCAGGAGTCTACATCACCATCAATATCAAGACATGATGCTTCACCTTATTTGCCTAGATTGAAGTCTGGTGTTGGGAATCCACGGGGTGTACAATACAGTCCATCTACAGTTTTGAGGAGATCACAGAGGACTGTGAACAAGCCGGAGAAATTGGATCTATAAAGTTGGAGAAGCCAAAGAGTCAGAAGAAATTTTAAAGTTTTAAAGTATTATGAGCCAAGCAAATTTTAAGTGTTGGCGAGTGTAATATATGTTTATATTAATTGTACAAGAAGCAGCATTTGATTTTATAATGTTGGTTGCATTCCAGATGTTAAAGACTTTTGTTTTGTTCTGATTGTTAATTTTGTAAATAACAATAATAATTGAGTTGTGATTGAAATGAATAATAAATTGAATACACTAGATTTTATCTTGTTCTTATAAAATATTACAATAACTCGAGTTACAACTGTGAAAAGTTAAAATTAATTTTACCATCTTGTTCGGTTAATAAAGACACTCATTTTGAATCCTAACTTCACATAACCGTAAGCTAAAAAGTAGAGGCCTATCTATATGGTGCATCATTCTAAAAGATTTAATCCCATTAAAGTACTTGAAATATTACCTTAAAAACTGCAGTTTCAGTGTTAGTGTTTAGCGTCTGCGAATATGCAGGGTGAACAGCTTAAATGTGCCACCATTGCCATCTAAAATTTTTAGTGAGTTCAACAAGTGTATTATATTTTGAGAAAACGGTACCCAAGAACCGAGCCATGGCTCGGTATAGTTTATTTTGATTGTAAAAGCAAGATAAAGGAAACTCACGATTTATTTAGAACTAATTTTGGCTTTTATTATTTAAATTTCATCGGACTTTCAATTTATATTACGATGGAAATGTTAACCTGGCAACCCACAGCACATTTATTTATTAGTGTGGGCTGGTGTGTATAATTCGCTAGACTGGCCTGTTAAAATTTAAATAACTTTTGAAAACTGTTAATGTGTACCTTAGGATACAAAAATTACTTGTTGCCATTTTTTTCATTATTAAATACAGCCCCAATCCAAGATGGCTACCAAACGTCGCAAAAACGTGACTGTAAATTAAGATATAAGGGTTATTAGCGAATTTCCCAATTTTTACAATTTCTTTCCAAACCATTTTGTAGAGCTTAAAAAACAAATGATTTAGTATATTGAAGCGTTGTCTTGCGCCTAATGGTTACGGAGAAAATTCAAAAAAAAATTTAAATTTCTATGTTATTCTTATGGAGAATAAGTCAACTTTGTTAATGTGCTTGTTTATGGACATATTTTGATCGGATTTGGAAAATACTTTCATTTCTTACTAAACTATTAACATTTTACAAAGAAAAACACTTTTACCCTCCCTGTTGCAGCAAACCTAAGTACTCGTTAAACTAATTCTATTTAAATAGGAAATAAATTTGATATTTTTATGGAGGCATTTTAGTGTAAATCGAATCAGGTTAATGGAAATTCGCTTAGTCTGCAGGTTTGCTGTGGCGGGGGTATTTTTATAAGTTTTCTTTAAAATGATAATTATATATATATTTTGTGTTTAGGCATTGTAGGAACAAAACCAGTTGTAAGATAATTTTTTTAACTTTTGTGAGTATAACGGCCACTGGTATTTGTGCTAATTCGTGTGAAAAATACCAAAAATTTTACAGAACGGCGAAACGTTTTTATGGAACGACAGTTTAAAAATGAAAGCTGGCTATGGTATTTATTGATACTACAGACTAATTGTGTAATAGATTACTATGAACAATAGTATTCTCGGAAGTTTAAATATTTAATAACAAAACTTACATCGCATACTTAACATATTATAAGATACAGATATTAAATCTCTAAATGTATAAACTAAACAGTCATTGTTTTCACCATCAAAATATGTTGCTCGTTCTAATGGGATGTTGTTACACTCAGCACATCCACACAATTCAGTGCAACACATCTTTTCCCCAAGCAAGAACAATATGCCGACTTGCCCACCATACACGGGCGAGCATGTTCCCAGCACTCTATCCTACTATGCCACCGAGGCCGATGTCGGCAAACTGTATCGTTCCGGTAATGGTGTTCCCTCAGCCTCAGTCAATCTGAAGCCTCCAAATGACACTGTTGGTAAAATTAATCCTGAAATAAAAATTCAGCCGCCGGTACGAAGGTCTCAGACCCCACACACGTGCGAGCATGTTCACCGCCAACACCGTCACGAACATGCTCGGTGATTTCTAGCTGCTATAATGAACATATTCAGTAGGCTACTTTCTTCCTTCACCTTAATTACCTTAACGCAAACAGATATTGTCTTTGTCACATTTGATGACTTGAACGTCTTCAGTTTTACTTTACTTATACGAATATGATATTTAATAGGTAAAGTCACAACAGTTGCATTAACGTTTGAACCTTAAAGCTCATCGCACACTACAGCCAAACGCGCCGCGCCGCCCCGCACCGTCCTATGGAAACTTCCGCTGTGAGGTCGCACATACTGGCCGCCGTCACCGCCGTCCCTCACCGGCAGTGCCTGTAGATCTGTGCAGTCGTGTGTCTCGTTTATGTGATGTCAAGTGTAATTTTTTTGTTATTTTTCAAGATGAGCAGCTTTGAGGACGATGATATGTTTTTATTTTGCCTGCTGGAATCAGAAGAGGAGGAAAAGAGGCAAAACACAAATTTTTACAGGAATGAGTGATTGCACTATTTTGTTAAGAATTATAAAGACCATCAAAAATACTAATTTCAATCAAAACCGGTTTCCATTCAAAATTCCTATTTTATATTACTTCCTGGGGTTTGTAGGGGAAAATAACACGATAAATTTAAACCGTAATTTTTACAGGAATGGGAGTTCTACCATTTATTTCCAAATTTAAAGGGCTACAACATAATGAATCGCTATTAAAATCGTTCAGGCAATTTCAAATAATTATATTTTTCCGCTATCTTATGGGTTTTGATGGTACAACGACCATTAAAAATCTAAATTTCAAAAACATTAAAAAAAAAAACTCCTAGAGATACCATGGATCATACTTGCCAAATTTCATCTAAATCGGACCAAAGGTGTGGTATATAGCTATGTACACATCCGGACAAACATACTCACACACACGCACACACACAGACAGGCATCACTTCGAAAGCCACTTTTTTTGGTCCAGAGGGACCCAATAAAAGGTACAGAATAATCATAACTACTTTTTGCAATAATCGTCGTGGCCAAATAAAAGGCACATATAATCATTGTTACTTTTTGCAATAATCGTCGGTGATAACTTGAGTAATTTTTGTCCGATTTTGATCAAATTTGGTTTAAAGGTGCAAGGCAGGGCAAACAAACTTGAATGAGTTTGCGAACTAGAATGATCGGAGCATGGGAACGGGGTTTTACGAGGGGTTTTATGGGGTAAAAAATAGTTTTTCTCATTTTTGACCCTCAAAACACAACATTTTCCAATTTCTCTCTAGATCTTTTTAAAGAGCTTAAAAAACAAATGGTTTGGATATCAAAGTGTTTTTGTACGGTTATTGGTAACGGAGAAAGTTCAAAAAATCATAAACTTAAAATTCCCATGTTATTGTAAAAGAATATTGTAAAATGTTGTAGTTTGATTGTTTATAAATATATTTTGATCAAACTTGACAAATTTATTTATTGTATACTTATCTATAAATAAATTAATATAAAAAACACTTTATTAGTTTCCTTGTAGAAGCAAACCTAGGTACCGTACTCATTAAATATAATGGTTTTTTTTTAATAGATTTAATTAAAAATTAATTCACACAAATGGAAATTCGCTTAGTCGACAGGTTTGCTGTGATGGGGGTATTCTATATATGAAAATGAAGGTTAGAATCTCTTCTTTAAGAAAATAATAGTTTTATGGTATTTTCTATTCAATAAATTATTATATTTTGCTACGGAAGGTAGCAATGTTAAAGAAGGTAGCGGTTTTATGAGGCAAGGTTAAGGTTATACCCCTTATTAGATTTGGAAAGTAAAAAGAGGTGATAAAAAATGGCAACAGGGCGATTTTTACTAACAAACTTATTGTTAAACATGGAAAATCAACAAATAAATTTTAACACTCCAATCGAGCCAGAGTCTGAATACTTACAAACCACCCCGCACTATATATCAAAGTCGATGGTAAAAATCACTCGTTTATAATAGCCTATATACATAAACATAGTTTTGACAATTTGTTAAAATTGAAACAGCTGATTGAAAATTGTTGTTTATATTATAATTTACTTGAATATTTATTTCACTGTTCAACCAAAGTTTGCCGAAGTCCTTCAAAGATTAAGCTTAGGTAGGAGAGATCCAATTAAAATAATCAGTATTTTATGTTAATCAGAACTATTTTCCTCTATATAAAGTTGGCTAATCTGCAGTGTAATATTTTCTCAGAAGTAAAACTGATGCTTTCCCTTTTGTAGGCTACTGTACATTGTAATTTGCAAGTATACTTTGATGGCTTGTTATAAACACATGTTACAAATATTTTGTTTACTTTTTCCTTGTTTGTTCAACAAACATAGTTATTTTGCAACCCATAAGGCTAATGTTAAATTGTCAAATGAGTTGTATAGCGAAATACGAATTTTTCTGAGGTAGTGGCTGTCGTCAATCACGTACGAGCGTATTTACTTATTCCTCGTATTTACGTTAGGAATCACTTATTTACAACATTTGAAGGAAATCGTCGTTTTCGATATCTTTGAGTAAGCATACAAACAAACATTGCTCATATAAGAGTACTGTATAGGCAATTGTATTCATTGATATAGGATTGTATGGTGAACTTCAACTATTTTCTTTTGACATAAAAAAATATGAATTACACTTATTTAAATTGACGATATTTTTTAATATGGCAGGTACCGTACACCTTATTTTTTATTATTTTAGACGATAAATTAAATTTGAAAACGTTTTTATTCGTTAAATCTTTCTCTAAATTCGTTTAGGAGTTACAGCGTGTTAAAATTTTGAAAAAGGTAGTTTTTTGTACTGTACATTCTGCATGATGTAGCTCCTCAAGAAGTTAGTTTGGAGAAGAAATTCAAAGAATGTATTGGTCTTAAAATTACATCTTAGTTATAAATAATCATAAAATACATTGAAA